TGCAGTTTTCCCTAACAGAAAGCAAAATTTCACGCACACTCTTTGTTCCTTCTGGTCGGCCATCTCACTAATCGCCAAAGGGTTGAAACAGGAACGCACACACCAGAGCACCACAGACAAACCACTTAACTCAGACTGACGCCAGCTCACTAACAGTCGCGGGAGACCCCCAGCTAACACCACCTAGCAGCACAACTCGTAACTACAAAGCATGCGCGCGCAACAGGTCGTTTCCGGTTATTTTTGGGTCCCCCTTCGTACTGCATTTTTACTGAGAAGTAAAATCCATTCTACAGTGTGATAGATGAGTGAGAGCAATCTGTAACCTTCATGCTATTATAACTATGCTCTGGGAAATGTAATACATTGCAGTGTCATCAACATACAGTGCTGCTTAGACTGATGTATTAGCTGCACTGTCGATCGCATTGATGGCAATTGCAAACGGGTACATCTGAAACCAGCATTTGTTACACTCTGTTTCCTTTTTGATAAAGCACAGAAAAAACATTACCAAAATAAACACAGAAATAACAATTCTGGAGAAAGCTCAAAAGATACAATGGCAGCCAACCCATAGGAGTTTTGCCAGTAAAGGATCCTTAGGAAACTGTATTGTTACGTTGTGTCATACACCTCAGAATCAAAGAAGACCACAACAAAGTGTTGGAGCTGAATGAACCATAGGAGCTGGGCATGTAAATTGTGTAACTAGAAATTCTATATGAACAGTTCCTTTATACCTTAATAACTACAAGCATGGTGAAGGTGTGATGTTTGAAGCTATAATCTTACAACTGCAGCACACTGAGAATCTGTACTAGGAGGACTTATGGATAGAACTGGATCACTAAATTATAAAATTATTAATTTATGCTTATCTGACAAATATAATATATTGGTAATCTGTACTTGTGAAAATTATACATGGAAATGGACCACTAAATTCTACAGCTGCTGCTAGCCCTATCATCAGAAAGATGAGTTTTAAAGTAAGAACAGTAGGTGCCATAAGTTCATCCCAGGAACTTATTTCATCACTAAATTAGTCTCTGGAAAATTTTAAATTTTATACTAAATTGCACCAAATTTAGATCATACTAATTTGTTCTTCACAAAATATTATTAGCATAATTAAATAAAGAAGGAAGAAAAGGAAAGGACATGCAGTAAGCACGGGGCAACTGAAAATTTTAAATATTGTCACATTTCTTAAGAAAAGAGAGAACTTGGAATTCCTAGACATACATGAAAGAGGAATATTAAAATATGTCTTAAAGGAATAATGCGAGTGAATTAGATGCAGCAGGCTCAGAATGGTATGGGATGGAGGGATTTTATGAACACAGTGATGAACCTCTGAGTTCCATAAACGCAGGGAATTTCTTGACTATCGGAGTAAATATCAGCTTCTCAAGGAAGAACTGTATGATGGTGATAGTAAATTGTACTCACCAAGGCACTAGTCTCAGCAGCATTCAAAACTGTGTTAACAGGAGTGCATGAGTGTCCATCAGAAGTACCACGATTTGTCAGTGATTGAGACAATACTTTTTTAGTGACTGGAACAGCATTTGGTGGATCTACAAGTATCACTTCTATGTCATTTGACTGCGTGTCACATTCTTCTACTATGTTGGAATTCGGCTGTTTTAAACGTACTTTTGTTGCTTTAACACCTGACTGCCTGCCATATTTTTGTACAGCAGTAGAAATTCGCGTTGAACATACTTTCATTTCTCTAAAATTTGATTGCTTCAAACTTTCTTGTACGAGTTCTGTGGTAGAATTTGGCTGTATGACACACATTTCTGTTCCATCAACATCCAGCTGCTTGTCACCTTCTTGTATCATGGTGGAATTTAGTTGCTTTACACGTACTTCCACTTCTTTATAATCACACTGTTTACCATGTTGTTGGTGTACTGTAGACTTTAAATGTGACTTTCCTACACTTTTCACAGCTATTGATTGTGACTGGTAGGCAGAAAGTGATTGCACCATAGAATTTAATGCTTGTGGAGGTACTTCAGCACCCCCTCTTTCTTCAACAGGTGATGAAGTCTCTGTAGGAATTTTCTTCTTTTGCTTTGTTGAATTCTCTCTGCATTCTGAAGTACCTTCACATGTCCAACTGAAGTTACATGGCCTCCCTATAAACCAATGAATTATAATTTTACAGAAGTCATTATCACTGTCCTATTCACATATTCAATTCACAAGCACAAATTGCTTAACCACTAAGTGCTTAAATTTCCCTACATGCTTCAGCCCTTAGACCATGTTCAGGGGTATCTAACCTATTAGCCACCCTAACATTATGCAACACAGACCATCTTACCAGGGGGTAATGCAACATAACACAGTTAAACAGAGATCTGAAAGCCTGCAAACATAAGACATGAATGGCAACAAAAACTGACTGTTGATCTCTACAGTTTGTTTGTAATTATTGTACCATACTGATATTTTAGATATAGATATAGATATCATTAGGAGGTGCTTTTTAATTGGATACAAGGGAACAGAATTATAATACGCCATACTACACTCCACAGAAATGCTAGCAATTACATGCAGTGCAATGGAACACAGCATTATACATACTTGACAGAAATGCTAGTGATATACAGAGCAACAGCCTAAATTCTACAAGCAAGGCATACTCCATATCATTTGAAGATGTTATTGAGATTGTATATATTAATGGATTTAGAAGGTGGTGCATTGATGTGTGTGTGTGTGGGGGGGGGGATGAGTGCATTGTTTGTATATACAAACACACTAGTGAAAGTGAGAATTCATCATCTGGGTCTTTAAAAAAATAAAGTAAAATTGTCTTTTATTGTCAGAAATTTATGAATATACCAATATTTCCTTGCCCGCAGGGGAGAAACAAGCAAATCAAATGTATACAAATTTCCATGTACATGTGTTGAACTGCATGAAAAAGGCAATGGAAATTACCCACAAACCAAACTGAAATTGCTTATTACGTACAAGTAACATTAGGACATGGCTGCACCATAGCTCAAGTGATTAGTCACTGGCTTCCCACTGCGGCGGCCTGGGTTCGATCCCGGGTCTGGTCAAGTGGGATTTGTGGTGGATAAAGTGGCGCTGGGGCTGGTTTCCTCCGAGTTCTTCGGTTTCCCCTGCCAGTCTTCATAATCACCCGGGGCAGGCTACAATAGGCCAAGCAGTGGCCGCCATGCCGAGTGAACTCAGTTGGACTCCACCCCCCACTAAGAGAATTAAAAAAAAATTAACATTAGGAGATTGAATTCTGTGAAATGCAACAATGTTTCTTAATAATAAAATTTAGCATTTACATGTTTCAGCCAATGATGGCCATAATCAGAAGGTGACCAGCACTTCAAAGGAAATGTTTCACGTGTATTATGTGCATGTCTTGTCTCATAAAGGTTAAAAAAATAGTTTTTAAAATATGCCCCGTTAAAAATTTTTTTTGATTGATAATTGTTGAGTCCCAGTGATAGTCATATTCCTTCCCAGTATGTCATCTGTATCATGCCGTCTTGTGTGTGTGGGTGGGATTGTGGTGTTGTGTGCAATGTGTTCTGGTTCAGCAAACAACACCACAATCCCACCAACACAATACAGACAACCTACCGGATCTGTTCCTGTCCTCAGACGAGGGGGCAGGACACCTATTCTGTTTGGTCTCTTAGAAAGTGCTAACCTCAATCAGGTTGTGAGAACGGAAACAGTTCCAGCTTCCAAAACACTGTCTTTGCTAGTTCTTTTTAAAAAACAGATGATGGACAAAGTCTAAGAACCCAATAATTCTGAGTTTCAATTCACTCGTCTGTCATTCACAACAATTTCTTACTATGTGACAAGTACCCATGTGTAAAAGACACTATCATGCACAACACTTTCTCCCTCCTGTCTCTTCCTAACTCCATTCCAGCTATACTCTTTCTTTCAAATCTGGGCAGCCATTTTCTATCTGAACTCACCCTGCATTATGTATTTCTTCCACATTAATTTCACTTCTTTCCAGTCATCGGGAAATCCACATTGAAATTTGTTTCGTACATAACATGGCAAATCTGAAATTGTAGAGAAACCAGATTATTCCTTTCCCATCCACACCTACCAGCTGCAATGCTATGAAAACAGCATGCACACATATTTAACCTGTTTCTGCCTCTCTAACCATCTCTTGGTCTTCAAGTTGTAAGTAAACACTGCCTAGTAGACCACAAGCTGATTTACTTGGTATTATTTTGCAGTTCCCTGCAGGGAACATGCAAAATCTTTTACGTTACACCCCGGTCTTTTGAGATGTGCATGAAGACTGCCAGCAAATACATCACATTTTTATGCTTTATTTGTCCTGTCTTTATTATTCTTCACGAGGAACAAATACAGAAATACGATCTGAAGGATCAAACTGGACAGAGATTGCTGAAGTTTACTTCAAGACTAGTAATTTTCTTTTATCCAGAACAGGGAGGCAACATGGGTGAGGTAATCTCCCAGCCTTTTTAATCATGTACTACATGACAGAAATTCAAAAAGACCCTTTTAATTCAGGCTGAGAGCCAAAATGGGAAACTTAAAAACCAGTCAAATGAAGGTTAAGAATAACTTTTATTGTTCTTATACATGAACTACTAAATGTAAATAGTAATGACATAATATTCAGCATGTCATCATATGGAGGTAAAGTCACAAATTTGGTGGCAGAAAGCTATCAAAAGTGGACACATAGGAAAGTAATGACAGAAACCTTCCAACAGAGGACAGGAAGGAGTTAAAACTAAAACAAACAGTGAACACTTAAGAATTCACAGTTCCGTACTAAATCTCATGTAAATTTTCAACAAGACTCATACAACAAATTTCAAATTTGCTCTTTTCCACCAGTGTGATGGCTGCTACCAGGTCAACCCAGTCACCATCACAGACTGTACTGATATTGACACCAAACCCAATATTTGATCCTGGGTAACTTGGTATTTGCCTACCTGCACAAGCCAGCCATTCTGCAGCAGCATTACAAATTACAAAGCATATTTTTAAATTAATGTAATGGGAAACCTATTCAACATATTCTGATCGAGTTTTCATTACACATCTCACAACATGTCTAGTAGTGTCTGAAGGAGTAGCATACAAGCACAGGCAAATAAGTTTCAAGACTCATTTTTAATTTTGTGCCAGGTGATCTGGCAATAATACAGGGTGGGGCACAGAAACTTCCTTTTTTTGAAGGCATATAAAAGAAAAATTATTGCTGATAGACAAAATTTATATTTAGCTAATGAAAGAACATACTTTAAAGTTTTAAATCATGTAGGTTTAAACAAAATATCTTGAAGGTGGTGGCCACCATTCTTTATGCACTGATGCAACCGTTTTCTGAAGTTCCCCTCTGCACATTCCAACATGTGCACCGGAATTTGGGCTACTTCCTGCCGAATAACATTCTTCAGCTGAAGCAGGTTTGTGGGGCGATGTTTAAAAACCTCTGCCTTGAGGTATCCCCATAAAAAATCATGGGGTCTTAGATCAGGTGAGTGTGCTGCCCACGGGATGTCACCTCGAAGCAAGATGAGCCGTCCGGGGAACTTTGCCCTCAAAACTGTCATCGAAACTCGGGCTGTGTGGGCCGTGGCACCATCCTGTTGGAAGCAGACATTTCCTAGATGCATTTTTTCAAGAGCTGGTTCAACACAGTTTTAATCATGTCCACATACCGCTGTGAATTGACAGTAACTGCATGATTGTCTTCTTCAAAAAAATAAGGGCCAATAACTCCAACTCCCGACAACACACACCACACTGTCACCTTATCACTGTGAAGTGGCCTCTCATGGAGTCCTCTGGGATTGTTACCACTCCAATAGCACATATTCTGCTTGTTGACATATCCGGATAGGTGAAAATGTGCCTCATCACTAAAGGAAACAAGTGTGTCAGGGGGTAGAGTTTCCAATAACATTTCGCACGCCATTATTCGGTTCTGGAAATCATGTGGTGACAATTCTTGCACAACAACCATCTTATAGGGATGGAAATGAAGATGTTCGTGAAGAATTCGGCGCATTCAACGATTGGATATGTCTAGGGCGACTGCATTTTTGCGAGCGGAGGGTCTTGGAGATCTCAAAATCGACTGTTGAACTGCCTTCACATTTTCTGGCGTCATAACGATCTGTTGTCACCACACTCCCGGTTGTCCTAAAGTTCTCTACCCACAAAACAATCGATTTCCAGTCGGGAACCAGACCTCTGGGCTTAATTCCAAAGTCAGTATGGAACACACGCTGCACCGCTACGTAGGAATGGTTGTTCGAAAAATAGGCTTCAACAGCAAATGCACGCTGCTCACTCATCCACCTCATGTTTCCTACTGAGGGGTATTAGACAGAAACTTCCGTGACTGCTGTGTTCATCGAGCCTGTCCCCACTTTTCTGCGACCTCCCCTCCCTTCAAAATGCGTCTTCACAAAAAGGAAGTTTCTGTGCCCCACCCTGTATTACTTGCAATGTTAGGTGATGCAATGAGACAGAGGTCATGTGGAAAGTCTGGATAAGCTGCATTCAGTATCCATTGAACAACACCTTGTTAGATCACTGTGTGTTGTCAACTTTTTTTAGAAGTAAAAATAAAGCATATGATGGAACAGACAGTAATGTGAAATTTTGTGTTAAACTGCAGAAACCGTCAAGTGAAATATCAGACATGTTAAAAACAGTTCCTGGTGAATCTACTATGAGCAAGAGTAATGTTTTAAGTGGCAAAAACATTTCAGAGAAGGCAGAGATGTGAACAATAATGAAAGGCAAGGTGCTCTCATAACGAAGTGAATGGATGAAAATGTGAAAATCAAGGTACTTGTGCGATCTGACAGCTGATGAGCCTGATATGAGCAAAGAGACTATTTGGAAAAATTTTAGTGCAAGATCTTGGCATGAAAAAGTCAGCAGTGAAGCTCGTGCCATGAAACCTGACAGAAGAACAAAAGCACAGACGTTCACTTTGTTCATGGACTTTGCAGAAAAACTTCAAGAAGATAATATTATGGATCATGTCATCATTGGTGATGAAATGTGGTGTTATCAGTTTGATTCCAAGGCCAAACACCAGTACATGGTGTAGAGATCAAAGAAGCCACGGATGTCGAAGTCCGAGATCAAAACACTGTTGATCTTATCATGGATATCATCCACTTTGAATTTGTACCTGAAGGGTCCAACGTTAATCACACATTCTATGTGGAGATGTTGTAAAGGCTTATTTTTGCCATGAGGCACAAGTGAGGAGAGTTGTGGAGAGATCACTCATTGATTCTTCATATTACAACATGCTGGCACATTCTTCACTTCAGGTATTGGGGGTGTGGGAACATCCCACATACTAACACACGCTTTCGCCAGTCTAACAGACAGCACTCAACTCCAAGTCGATATCACATTGCTGCCAGCACTCGTATTTATACAGCACTCAATGTCCAGCCCACCTGTAGATCATCATGTGCGCTAGCCAATCAGCGCTCACAACCACAACTGCAAGTTTAAGCTCCGCCCAGCAAGCATGGTATAAAAGCGGAGCCCAAAGCTTGCAATCATCAGTGATCACATTCAGTCATCAGCTGTTTACTGTGCCAAAGACAGCTGCTGCATCTCTCCAGCAACTGCGCTCTGTTACCAGACAGCTAACGTAGCTGCCGCAACTCTCCAGCAACCACACTCTGCTACCAGACAGCTACAGTAACAGCTGCAGCTCTCCAGCAACTGAGCCGAGACAACGGCTCAGTCATCAGTCGCACCATAGGCAGCTGTTCCTACGGGCACACGCAGCACCAAATCACCGGCTGGAGAAACCAGCTGAATGGCCGTAAAGACTTGGTCTACTACAAAGGAGCAAATTCTGCAAGCGCATTCATGGTGGAACAAACTGCCCTTTTCAGGGCCAGCCAACTTT